AAGGAATAAGCTAAAGAAGAGGCCATTCAACTCTACTGGAGGGTACAAAGGCATTTTTTGAAAAGGGGAAAAAAATCTTGACATGGTAGCAACACTTGTCAGCACTTGGAAAGTCAAGAGTTCTAGGCTAGCCTGGGCTAAAGGAGACCTGGCCAGGTCCAGGGTCTAATGCCTGTGGAACATACAGAGATGATGGCCTGTACCTACAGGACATCTTGATCAGTTCAGATGTTGACGCAGATTAGAAGTGACAAAACTTTTTGTTATTGTTGGTGGTGTTGTTGTTTTTTGGTTTTCGAGACAGGGTTTCTCTGTGGCTTTGGAGGCTGTCCTGGAACTAACTCTTGTAGACCAGGCTGGTCTTGAACTCACAGAGATCCTTCTCTCTGCCTCTCAAGTGTTGGGATTAAAGGCGTGGGCCACCACCGCCCGGCAAAAGTGACAAAACTTTAAGAAGTGACCCTTCCAGTTAGGGTAATAGAGAAAGAAGGTTTCATCGAACTGTGACGTTAAGTTGGCTTAGGAAGAAAGGAAAGTTAAAGCACATCCAAAGCGGAGATCACCAGCTTTGGAAAAGTGCCTGTGAAGGAGTCATAGGAAGGCATGTGACTCCATGAGGAGAACAGGAGATGGCAGTGAATTAGATGTGGCCCCTTTTACAAAACCTTGAAAATGGAATAGTAAGGGCTAGGGAGATGGCTCAGCAGTTAAGAGCACTTGTTCTTACAGAGGATCCAAGTTCAATTCCCATTGCCCACTGGGCATAACTCCAGTTCCAGGATGCATGTGATGCACAGACACACATGTGAGCAGAACACTCATTCACGTGAAATAAATCTAAAGAAAAAATTTTAATGGAATAGTAAAAGGTGACTTAGAACAGATGATTCTTCCTGCTGGAGTAGAGTATTATTAACAAGTCAGTGTATGTAAGGTCTAGCACAGTGGTTCCTATGCCACCACCCTTTAATACAGTTGCTCATGTGGTGACCCCCAGGCAAAGAATTATGTTTGTTTCTACTTCATGGCTATAATTTTGCTACTGTTACAAACTGTAGATAATCTGTTTTCTTATGATCTTAGGTGAACCCTGTGAAAGGGTTGTTCGATTCTCCCAAAAATGGGTCTCAACCCACAGGTTGAGAATCACTGGTCTAGATAGAGCCTTAGAGGAAGGTAAAGAGCTGGAGATGAAAGAGGAGCTCACACAGAGATCCGCTTGCTTATAAAGAAGTGCCTGGACACACACCATTGCTGCTTACAGATCTAGCCAAGTGACAAGCCTCTCCTCTGCACGATAAGGACAGTTAAGTCTGTGAGCAGTGGTAGGGAGGAAATCACCAAAGCAAAATGTTTAAGAAAGTCATGAGAACGCTGGGCGGTACATGCCTTTAGTCCCAGCACTCAGGAGGCAGAAGCAGGTGGGTCTGTATGAGTTCGAGACCAGCCTGGTCTATAAGAGCTAGTTCCAGGATAGGCTCCAAAGCCACAGAGAAACCCTGTCTCAAAAAAGTCATGAGAAATCAGCATGGAGCAAGACTGTAATCCCAAGATTTGTGTATAAGGGTTACTACTAAGTTACACTGTGATAATGGAGCACTTGGGAGGTCATGGTCATCCTCAGCCATGCAGAGGTCAGAAAAAGTCAAGTTTCCAGACTTAGAGAGCCTATGAGTTCCCAGCATGAAAGTCCCCTGGGATTTCAAGATGTCAGAGAAATCTTTCCTCTCCTTGACCTTCCCAAAGAAACACTCTCCAGTTTATCGCCATACAGTGAAACTTATTTATTAGTAACCCTTTACCTAGAGTTTCTGACCTGCATCTTAGTGCCTTCCATGCAGTGAAAGCCAAAGCACAAACATTTGAAGAGTCTCCAACACGAGATGCAGAAACAAAACACAAAGGGAAACAGGAAGGTCTGGTAAAGTAGAATACTCTGAAAGTCTAAGAGCAAAAAGCTACAATTAGGACTGTGAAAACTCAAAAGAGAAAATACTGTGTCCATAAAGAAAGATGTCACAAAGGGAGAGAAAGAAAAAGAGTTCTTAGACCTCAGACCGGAAAGATGACTGAGCTTGCCACACAAGCCTGCTAAACTGAGTTCAAAGGGAAAGTTCAGTTTCCAGAACCCATAGTGGACGGCTAGAACTGACTCCTGAAAGTTGTCTGGCCTCTGCATACTTGTGCAAATGCAGTGATAATAGTAACAGCCTTAAGCAACTATAAGAGCTGGAGGACTGGATAGGATGGGGATGATTCATTGAATTCTCAGCCTTAAATATGCCCGGCTTGGTCTGGCGTTGGTGGCGCACGCCTTTAATCCCAGCACTCAGGAGGCAGAGGCAGGAGGATCTTTCTGAGTTGGAGACCAGCCTGGGCTACAAGAGGTAGTTCCAGGACAGCCTCCAAAGCTACAGAGAAACATTGTCTCAAAAAACAAAAAAAAAAAAAAACAAAAAACAATTTACAAAAAAAACAAAAAAAAAAAAAAAAAAAAAAAAAGTAAAAGGTGGAACATCACTAGGCAATGTTTTGAATGTATAAATCAAGAAATAGACGGGCATCATGTTACAATCATGTTACATGCCTGTAACCCCAGCCACTCCAGAGGCAGAGGCAGGATAGTAGAAAATTCAAGGCCATCCTGGCTTTTTTAATACTGGGGCTGGAGAAATGGCTCAACTGTTAAGAGGGCTTGCTGCTCTTAACAAAGGACCTGAGTTCAATTCCTAGCATCTACATCATCAGCAGATGGCCCACAGCTTCCTGTAACTAACTCCAAGGGGTTGACACCGTCTGACCACCTCAGATAGCTATAATGTGTGCACATACATACATATAAAAAAAAAAAAGTCTTGCTGGGGATGGTGGCTTACACCTTTAATCCCAGCATTTGGGAAGCGAGACACAGGCGGATCTCTGAGTTCAAGACCAGCCTGGTCTACAGAGAGACTTCCAGGACAGCCAGGGCTACACAGCGAAACCCTGTCTTGAAAATTTAAATAGATACATTGTAGCAGGCTTTTTTGAACCAGCTGCCCCCAAATCGCAACATAGAGACATATTAGTTAAGAATGTTTGGTCGTATCTTATGCTTGTCCCACTAGCTCTTATAACTTAATTTAACCTGTTTCTTTTCATCTATGTTTTGCCTTGGGGCTTTTTACTTTTCTTTCATTCTTTATGTCCTAGTCCATGTCTGTTTATCTTGCAGCTGACTGGCCCCAGATGTCTCCCTCTCTTTCTCCTTGTTTTATCCTCTTTCCTTCTAATTCTTTCTGCTGGCCTGCCCTGCCAATCTCTCTACTGCTTGGCTACTGGCCATTCAGCCTTTTATTAGATCAGTCAGGTGCCTTAGGCAGGCAAAACAACACAACTTTACATTGTTAAACAAATGCAGCATAAACAAATGTAACACATAAGCCAATAGTGGTGGTGCACGCATTTAATCCCAGCACTTGGGAAGCAGAGGCAGGTGGATCTCTGAGTTCGAGGCCAGCCTGGTCTACAGAGCGAGTCCAAAGCTACAGAGAAATTCTGTCTCAAAAAGCCCAAACAAAACAACAAAAACCAAATGCAACACATCTTTGCCTAGTTAAAGTAATATTCCACAACAATGCATCTTGAAAAGTTTTAATATTGTTTAGCTATGCATACACATTACTTGGAGAAAAAGATTAAATGAAGGCTATGAACTTAAAACAGATGTATATAACTGCTACTGATTATGTTCTTTTGCCTATAATAACAAATTGGTTATGTAATGAGAAAAACTATACAGGGAGATTGATATTAGATTATGAAGGTCCTGTATATCCTGTTAAGGGTATTTGAAAGGCATATATGAAGAGGTCTCTGAGCAGAGGAGATCCTAACATTTCAGGTGACTGAAATTTTAAGTCCTGAAATGCAGGTATGATAGCACACAGCAATCCCATTGCTCAGAAGCCTGAGTTAGGAGAATTCCCAGGAGTTTCAAAGCCACCACTGGTATATGTTGTTACCACAGACTGGCTATACCTAGTTCTGGTTTGACTCCTGCTGTCCCAATCATACACATGCATGTTTGCACCCACCTTTTTTCTTTCTTAATTTTTTTGTTTTTGTTTTTTGTTTTTTGCTTATTTGGGTAGAGGGGTTCAAGACAGGGTTTCTCTGTGTAGTCCTGACTGACCTGGAACTCATTCCATAGACCAGGCTGGCTTTGAACTCAGAGATCTGCCTGCCTCTGCCTCCCGAATGCAAGTACTAAAGTAAAGGCATGTGCCACCAAGCCAGGCTGCTTGTACTGTTTGCGCTCGCGGTCTCTCTCTCTCTCTCTCTCTCTCTCTCTCTCTCTCTCTCTCTCTCTCTCTCCTTTTTTTTTGTGGTGGGTGGGGGGTTCGAGAGAGGGTTTCTTTGTGTAGCCTTGGCTGCCCTGGAACTCAAGAGATCCACCTGCCCCTCTCTCTCCTGCGTGCTGAGATTAAACACATGCGCCACCATACCTGGGTAATCCATTCCTCAAACTACTTGCGCATAGGCGCTGAGGTTATAAGGATAAGAACTTGAACTTGCTCAACCCTCAAGGAGCTCAGTTTAGTACCGTCCTGTGACAGCAACTGTGTTGTCAGCAGAACCCAAAGACCCACGCCGAAGCCATCCTCCTCCGGTCTTCAAA